CCTGGGATCTCTTCACTGGCTCAGCAAGACTTGAGGAGAAAGTAGATTAATCTGTCATGCTCCCATTCCTCTCCTCCACAAATTGGTGTTGGTTTGGAGGTGGTGCCGACAGCAGCCCTCCTGTCATCCAAGACAAGGTACTACCAGTACTCACGATGATTCCTGCCTGTGACCGTAGGCAACTGGGACACTGCCCCTGATTTCTCTACGCCAGCCCTACGCACCATCCCAAAGCATTTGCTGACAAAGCCAGTTGGACTATAGCAGTGTAGATTAGCCACTTCTTGCAGTTTGTTACAGACTGCTTTTACCAGGAAGGTTCCAGTCCATCCAGGGAACAGGAGAGAAGGCACTTCCTGGGACGGGTTCCCAGTCACAAGCCACTGGACAAGTTGCTGGCACAGCAAGAGTCTGCCAGCTGGGTGGCAGTTTAGCACCCAGCTTGGTGGAAAAACTAGGAGTGATACTCCCATGTGCAAAACTCCCACAAACACGGGAGCTCTGCTGGGCTCCCCTGCCAGCTCCCAGATATCACGAGCTTTCACTGGCAGCCCCAGAGGCAGGCAGCTCCCCAGCGTGTGCCTGAGTGCTGGAGCCAGCAGGGGTTGTGCTGACAAAAGCCATCACACGTGCTTAGTCCTGGGAGAAAAAGAAAGCAAGCTGTAGGGGCAGGGCAGCTCATAGCTTCAACCAGCGTGAGCAGCTCTCTCCAGGCAGTGTAAGTCACACCTTCCACACGCAGAACAGACCAGGGAACTCACACCAGGCCTGTAAGGAAAACCTTCCAGGGCAGACAAGCCAGCAAGGGGAAGGAAGGAGGAGGAAGTCTACGCACTCGCACTAGAGACTTCCTTGGGTTAGATGAAGGGTCAGGGGCAGGTCTGTGTGACTCACCATGCTTTTCTGAGACATGCCACTGGCCTGATGCAACTCATGCTCCAGCAGGAACCAGCAATAATGGGCCATCACTCATACCAAGAAGAAACGTGAACTGTAAGAGCTGCTATAAAAAAATATCCCTTTACAACTTGCAAACTAAAGACACTACCCATGAGCTGCTGGTAAGGGAGAATCCCCTTCCACCCACCACTTTGAGTGCTTTTTGTGTAGCAGAAAATATCTGCTGGTACTGCCAGATGGACAGGATACCCAGCCTTCTGCTTCCAGACAGGGTTCTGTGAACAGCCTTCAAAGGCAAAATCACCAACAAGAAAGAAAACAGCTGAGAAAAGCAGCCCCAGATCTTCCCAGTCCTGAGCTTGCAGTGCATTCGCTGCTCGCCCACTTCTTGCTAAGTCTGTTGCCTCTGGCTCAGGCCCCCACCCTCCCCTCTAGCACAACTACTGCTTACAGCTTGGAAGCTATTTTTTCCCACCCTGTTATCTGAAAAAAAAAAAAAAAAAAAAATTGGCGTGAAAACTGTTATCCTCTTGAAAACGTGCCAGCTGCAAAGGCGACTCTATGTCTCAGACGCCTGTTTCCTGGCAGATTTTAAGTCCTTTGCTCAACTGCTAGGATGGCGGGGGCAGGAGATGCCTGCAGCAGCAGGCTGTGAACTGTCGTTTCAAACAGTCACATGTTCAACTGCTGCTAAATACCCAGGAGACCAACATTTTCAAACCGTAGGCTAAGAGCTAGACACGCAGCCAAGCACTGGCCCAGCCGAGGTAAAGGAAGTTGTGACTGTGCTGCGCGGTAGTGCTGTGCATGGAGGCGAGAGGCCACCCCCAGGAGTACAGCTACCAGGCAGTACATCACCTGGCTCAACACCTCCACCTGGGCAGTCACCCCTTTGCTTCCTGAACCACAAGGCTAAATTAGCTCTCTTGGCTCCCGGTGGTTTGGAGGGGAAGGATGGGAGCCGGTAACCAGGCTAAGCAGGGGAGTGGTGCTGGAGGACGGCGCTGTCGGTGTCCAGATTTCCAGTGACCAGCCCTGGCCATAACAACCACAGCTGGCGACCTAAAGGCACTAGAAAGTCCACGAGCAGGCTGAGACGTGGGGACTGACCCCGCTGTGATGCCACCCTGGAAGAGCTACACAAACCACAGAGCCCCTCTCCCTGCTGCTGCTTTTTGATGCTCCAACGTGCTCAGAGCTGGTTTCACATGCAGAAATCCCTTTTTCACTCCAGCCCCAAGCTTCAGGGCTTCTCAGAAAAAAATTGCACAGGATGAGAAAAAGACACAGTCCTGTCAGGGGCTCTTTTAGGGATAGAAGGCGGCCATCTCTTGGCACACAACCCACAGCAACACCTACCTTAGTACCTACCTATAATTAGCCCCTCTGCCAGCTGAGAATTTTCCCTAACATTGCAATTTGGGACATCCAAGTATTGCTTCAACTCTAAGTTACTTGGAGCCGCCAGCAAGAAGAAAACTAAGTAGTCTGGGAAGACAGAAATTTAGAGCCTTTCAGATTTGTTTTCACCCTAGGGAGATATTATTAAGAAGAAACTGGTCTGGAACGGAGGTGCGTGGGACAATCCAACTAGCTCTCCAGAGGCTTTAAAAGGATGGTCTTGTCCTGTGTAAAATAGATGGTGCCCAGGAAATCAGCGCTTGTCAAATGAAATCACTGCTCTGCAAAGCACAGTCCTCGTTCGCTGCATGCGTTTCCGAGGTGAGGAACATGATCCCAATTGTAGCACACAACCCAGGATGACATTAAAAACCCCAGCTATCGCATGGGTTTGTGATGGTGCAGAGCAATGAACACATCACTGCTGCTGCAGAGGGAAGTGTGAGGGCACAGCTCAGCTACTGCACGATCCAGCTGTACAAGGAGGCCAGGGTTCTCCTTGTGTGTCAAATTATCTAAGAACCACAAAGCAAAAAGAGAGCTGTAAAGCTCCTGCTAAGTACAGAAGACAAGTGATAGACTCCTCCAATATACCATGCAAGCTGCCTTCATCCCTCCTGTCCTCCAGATACATCATCCATCCCCAAGTGGCTTGTTCAGTAGCAAGGAGCAGCCTTCATCCTCCTTTGTACTTGGATGTCTTCACCTCTCACCTCCCCTCCATTTAAGCACAATGATGGTGCTTTCTCAGGATGCAGATAGCTTACAAGACAGAGCAAAGGAGTAAAGAACAAGCTTACAGAGAAAACCACCTCAAAAACTTTGCTTGGTCCAAGTCTTAGTCATACCTTGGGCTGTTGGGAGCCATGGGCCGCAAGAGCAGCTGCACACTATGGGCAGGAGGTGCCTTTAGTGCACAGCCCTGTCCAAGGCCCAGCTCCCCAGTGCAGTGCCCAAACTTCATAAAATGAGCAGAAGCTTGGCTGCACTGGAGCTGGCACTCAGAGCTCAAAATACAACATGGCCTAAAAGCAGCACACACAGATACCTGTAAGAGAGCAAGCAGGAACCAGCCAGAACGTGGGGAGATATTCTGAGCTGTCTGACCCCAGCACAGCCCTCTGCCTCCCCAAGCTCGGGTCTCACAGGGCATTGCAGCATGCTGATGAACAGCACGGCAGCACCCACCTCTCAGCACTGGCCCAGGAGCCTTTGGGTAGAGGGGAGCCCTGCCAGGCCAGTCTGAGAGCAACAGGGCCAAGGATGAGGCACAGCCAGCGTCCCTCTGTGGCCTCTGCCATCAGGACTGTCCTGCCAGGCCTTGGAGGGTGAGGGTTGGCACAGTGGTATTCCTCTAACAAGCACGTGCAACAGTGTCTGCACTGCCAGGGCAAAGGCAGGCATCAGAAAAACTGCCTCTGCTCAGCAGCGCAAGCCCAGAGGGAGCACAAAGCAGCACCAGTGATCCAAGAGACAGGTACCATCAAGGTACCTGCCACTCCTGTTGTAGCTGGTTTTAGGCACTAATTTGGGTAAGAGTCAGCTGCAGCTTCCATGTTCTGTCTGGGCATCAAAGTGAATTTCTTCCTTAAAGGTTTCAGATGCTACTCAGAGTTGACCAGACATAGGCAGGCTGCTTCCCAAGGTTAAGAAGCACCAGAAAAGTTCTTGTACTTTTTTAAAAAGACAGCACTGATATTTTGGGGTGCCAAATCAAAATTGTCTCAACTATGGGACGGCCCTGCCTTCAGCTGTCCCCATGAAAATTCACTGGAGTTTTGTGAAAATTGGTGTTTGGTAGAAGGAAAGGCCTCCCCCACTGCAGCATTTCCCAGACTCAAACACGTGAATGACTGGCTGAAGATCACAGCCTGCAGACAGGACACATTTTGGGATGCTTCCTATAGAGCAGGACGAGCAGGGAACACGACATAGACCAGAAGGCATCAGTATCACCAACAGAAAGCACACACTTCCAGGGTAGGAGGAAAGCAAGTCTATGGGTTAGACGTGATCTGCAATGTTTTCATGTGGCTTCTGTTGCATGCCACACCATCAGTCTAGTGGTTCACTGCACACATGGAAAAAAAACATTCTTTTAAGTAATTTTTCCAGTGATGGGAATAAGGCTGTATTTCAATTATTAGTATTTACCAAAACAAGAACCAGACAAACTCAGTACTGTGCAAAAGTGTGTTTATTCCAAAGCTAAATTTCTCATAGGAAACAATGTCTCTGAACAGCAGCACTGGGGTCCTCACACATCTACAACAGCTTTCTGGGCTCCAGGGCTTGGGGTATTGAGCCACCTCAACAGCAGGGAATCTCTTTTCAGAGTTATCAGAAAGAGGAGGGAAATGACAGAAAACAGATACATGGTCACTGGCACAATTTCTTAAATTGTGCATGCTCGCAAGAAGAGAAAAGGTGTCAAGACACTTTGCAGGGAGCTTAATGCCTGCACAGAGATCTCACAGAACACCCGGCTTTCTGCAGGCTGCTCGCCAAGGAGCAGCTGCCACTGTCAGGAGAAAACTGCATCATTCTTGCAGACAGAAAACAGAACTGTTGGACTGAGTAATCTGCTGAGCCACTTTCAAGGACCAAAGCAGCTGAGAGGTCATGTTAGCAATGTGCTCCTTTGTAGCCTGGAGCCCCTGCATCAGCTCCAGTGTGCACGTGTGGTCCCAGGTGACACCTCAGAGGGGTTTACCTTCTTCCTCCTGCCTCAGCCTCTTGGAGAGATGCTCACTGATGGCCATAAGGGGGTTGGCTCTGTACCTGGGATCGGCGATGACCTCATGAAACCGAGCCACTTCCTCCTCTCTGAAGAAAGAAAAGCAACACACAAATGCTGTGTCTCATGCAAAAGGGACTGAGAAGATAAGAACAGAACTCAAAAGCAGTGCATTTCTGTACAGATGGAATGATCCTGGGTGTAAACCTCAGAAAGAAACAGTGCAAGAAACAAACAATTTACCCAAGGGCAAAGCTCAAATTGCTGCCAGCTTCATGGGAGCCAGAGACTTGGTCTCATGCCATAGAGACAGAAACAATCACGTTAGTGTCACATCACTTGGAAATGTTTCTTTTAGAGCTTTTCTCTAGTAAATCAGAAGCAGGAGACTGGTTATCTGGCAAATCACTAAGAATTAAAACTACTTCAGATTGCACTAGCACAACAGCAGATTCTGCTTTCAAGAGTCCATCTACTGACTCTGTTCTTTAATGTAGAGGCTTAGTAATCCTATGTGCCACTCTAGCTTGACAACATGGGAGGAGCATGACAGAATTACCTCTACGAGCTTGGTCAGAGTTCATCACTGTGGAAATGGTCTTGTCTTAAAAAGCAAGCAAGCAGGGAGAAACAAGGCCAGAGTAGGATTGCAAAAAAACCCAGTGAGTTTTCATGTCACATCCATTGTGGCCTACTCATCTCTCTCCAACGGACTGCCAGACTCTCCACAGCCTAGCCAGATACACTTCTCCATGTTCTCAGTAGTTGCTGTGGATCAGCAGAGTGCTCTTCAGCCTGCAGCTAGCTTTCTCCCTAGTATGGCCCTTCCCTGCAATGCCAGCCCTGACCCTGCCAGAGGAACTGAAAGAGAAGCCAAACCTCAAGCTTGGGTTGTGGTACTTGCAGCACTAACATGAGGCCTAATAATGGGAGGAACCTCCAGTCCTAATGAACATCCTGGAAAATAAACCTTGAGACCTTCCTCCAAATGTTTTCCCTTGCAAGAAGCAGACTTCCCAGACCACTGCAGTAGGATATGTGCCACTACTCAATGCACCTCTCCAGTTTTGTGCAGAGGAGAGCGGGAGGGAAACACAGGGGATCATCAGCTTACTGATATAGAAGATTGTGGTGTAGTTGCCTCTTTGGATTTAGATCAGTATACAAGTCCTTCCTCAAGCAGTGAACCCAAGAGTTCCAGCACAAAGAGACACTCACTGGTGGCACTCAAGGCCATAACCCTTGGGCTTCTGCAATGAGCCAGGAAGGGACTCGTTCAGAAAGGCAGAACTAAGCAAGAAAGGCATCTCAGCATCGACACTGGCCAGCTTCAGACAGTGAAGAGTCTTCACAGAGTGTGCTGGCAAGCAGTGCTGGGATCTGTAGACTGCCTGTTCTCCTCAGCCTCAGTTTGAAGTTGAATGGCCCAGAACCAGCAGAAATCCCAGAATCAGGGAGCACAGAAAGGAAACCCTGCCAGATCACATTGCCTGGCCCCAGGAGAGCTGTGCTGAAGGGAAACAAAGTTCCTGATGCCTTGTGTCAGTATAAAATATCTAACAGATTATACAGAGGAATAAGAAATTGCTAGACCAAGCCCAGGAATTATTCAAAAGCATTTAGTGCTTCATTTTACAAGAAAAGGGCTGGCAGAAGCCAATGGACAGCTGTGAGGGATGTATGGTATGAAAGTCAGCATCCCAGATGTGTTCTGACAGAGCAGCTGTAGCTCCTGATGCTACAGAGTTCTAGGAGTCCCTCACCTACACAACCACAGAAGGCTTTCCTGAGTATCGGCTAGAGCGACATAAATCTGGTGTTGGAAGAGACTCAGCCACCACTGGATGTTGCAGCTCCAACTCAGCAAGCTGAGACTAGAGGTGCACCACCTGGTTGATTACCACATCATCCATGCCACATAATGGGGCACAGTGCAGACGTACAGCAGAAGTTACAATTGTGGCCAGGAGGAAAAAGATGACAATTGGTGTGGGTTTGTCTTGAAATCCAACAGAGCATATGCAGGAGGCTCAAGCTATCACTTTCTTCTCAATGAGACCGGGAAAGTGAACTCTTAGAGGAGCAAGCGCAGTTTCCTGTGCTCTTTTCACTCAGATTTTACATGAGACAGAAATGGAAGTAGACCGGGTCCATTTAGAATTGACTGAGTCTGGTAAGGACTATGACAGAAGGACATCCACAAACATCCTGCACTGCTGAAGAGGAAAATCAAAGCTGCCACCTCTTCTAGGGCCTTCAGGCATGCAAGAAACACTGGAACTGGTTGCCTACAGAGTTCGTATGATCTCCATCCTTAGAGATATTCAAAAGCTGTGCGGACATGATCCTGGGAAACCAGTTCTAGGTGACCCTGCTTGAGCAGGGAGGGTTAGATCATATCTGCTCCAGAGGTCACTTCCAGTCTCAACCACTCTGTAATGCTCAGCAGGGACTGGATGCTCTGACAACAGGATACTTACAAAAGCCGGCATTTCTGAGCTGGTTTCATCAGACAGAAGTCTGCAGGTTCTGCCTTTGCCTTTACATGGCTGCAGAGAGAAGAAACAAAACAAGTTTGAGTGAGTGTTACAGAGGAGTGGTAATTTAGCAATTGCTGTGAAGATGGAAAAAGTCCAGGAATTCTGCGTCTGCCTTCCCAGAAAGTACAGGTAATCAGCCTGTACGGAAATTGTCCTGAAAGGCAATTATTTCCACAGCCAGACAGGAACGGAGATGCAAACTTCTGCCACAGACGGACAAACAGCTTAAGAGTCAGGACTGAATGGCAGGAGGTAAAGACACTGAAGGAAAATCGGATCACCTAGTTCTAACACTGGTCATTAGCTGTCTGCACCCAGATCACCTTCTGCCTATCACTAACAGGTCAAACCGATACTGCTGCTCAGAGAACAGATCTCATCGAACTTCCCCTCAGCACCAGGCACCATCGCCGCACGTCTCGTGTTCCCTGCTAACACCAGCAGACATCAGTCACAGACAGTGCCACAGGTGCTCAGCAAGAAGAGGGAACGACCAGATCCTTCTGCCCTGCCTCTGACCCTGCAGCAGGATCACTGGGGTATAAGGTGTCACTTATATTTTAAAATAAAAAATGGCAATATTCCTTTCTCCCTGTGAAAACATATCCTTGCCAAAGGCTTCCCAGTTTAAGTCAGCTGCAAACAGATTGGCTAAAGAGAATGTACAACAGCAGAGCTCCAGCCTTTGCCACGAAACACAGGTTTTTGAGAGCAGGAGGCTGCCAGCAGACGGACGCCGGTGCACCATGTGCAGCTGAGGCAAGTACAGATCTGCACTCCCTGCACCCACCTCTTATTCGTGGGCAAAGTCCAAGAATACCAGAGGTGAAATCCCATCCTGCACAGGATGCTGGAAGTATGTGGTGCCTGATGCCAAGCAGCAGCAGAGATTTACCACAAAGCCGAGCAAGGGTCGTGCAGGAACAGCAGAGAGTGCTTTTGGGACTTGAAGTGAACAAGGGGAGCTGCTGGTAGAACTGGACATTAAAAAAAGGAGAAGAAACTTCCATTCTTCAGGATTACACAGATACAGACATAAACAGAAGCAAGCAGGGAGGAGAGTCTGCCTCCGCAGAGCATGTCCTCTCTGACTCACCCCGGGGCTGGGCCCCAGCGTGCCTCACAGAGGGTCTGCCTCACACCCATCTGTCGGGACGGGGCTCAAGGAGGAATCTTCCCTTACTGGTGGGTGCCGAGGGCCAGGGCCTCCCCAGCCTGACCCGCCCCAGAGCCCTTCAGCTTTGTCAAGGTTAGGAAACATGACCATCCCTCACCTTCTCTTCAAGATAGCAGGATCTGGTGTCTTGTTGGCAGTGTTACAGTGACCTCCTCTTCCTATTTTCCTTCTCTGACCTGCTTCCCTCCATCTTTCTATTCTGCACTTTTTTCCCCCCCATTCTTCCTTTCCTCCTCCTCCCCTGCCCCATATTCCTTCACCCCAATCTCATCCTCCCTCTCTCCTTGATCAGCTCCTGCTCCTTTTCCTCATCTCTCCCTCTCCTGGCCCATTTTATTTTTCCTCAGGGGTGATCCTGGTGGACCCAAGCTGCTGAGGACTGCTCTCACCACTGCCCCCATCACATCTGATTTACCCTCAGCCCAGCACAATATGCCTCAGTGTCAAAGCTCCCTGCCAACCCAGACAAACCCAGACAGGGTGAATGTCTGTTGGCCAGTCTCTGCAGCACAGAGCTTCTGCAGCAAACTGCAGCCAGGCAGACCAGTGCCTGCATGCTGCTCCTGTACCCTTCAGTCCCTCTCAAGGTCACCACAGCACTGCCGACATTACTCAACAGGGCTGAGAGCTCACGAGGTACGCGATCAGCAGGAGCAGACGAACAGCTACAGGCGTTCCAGCAGCTCCCATCACTGCTGGTTCACTGGTAATGCAAGACACAGAAAGAGCAGGAAGCATCTCTGCTCTCTTCATGTCCATTAACTGCTCGGGACAGGAACGGTTTCTTGTCCCAGTTTGCCTGAATCGCTTACAGAAGCACAGAGAAAACCCTTCTCAAGTTGCATGGCAGCCCACAATCACAGGAGCAGGGTCTTGCCAAGTGTGCCACCAAGTCACCATGGCAGTCCCTTAGTAGAGGAGTAGCTCTGCAAAGGGTGACAATGCTTAAAGGAAAACCTTTCTCGAGTACATCCCAGACTGTACAGGATGACCCGTCCCAGGGCTGTGCCTCTTGGAACAGCTTCCTCTGCAGTACACCATGAGGGCAGGGGGCTGCTTCAGGCTTTGCAAGCCTACTTCTGCCTTCAGCCACCCCACTATTTTAAAGGGCTTGGTGCTTCTGAAGGCTTTTCAGTTCCACTCAACAGCTCTTCCCCATTGGTCTGGCAGGTTCAAAAGGCTGCTGCCTGAATTCCCCACCCCCCCCGCCCAAGCATGCTGCCTGCTCACTTGGACCATGTTAGCTGCTCTGTTTCATTACACTTCATTGCCTTCATTCATTATAAAACAGAATAAAAACCTCACCATAATGCTCTCTTACCCAGTAGATCAAATTCCTGGAGAATCTAATCTTTTATTAATAATGCTGACAAATCACCAGAGTATTACCCTTCATTTATGTAATGATTCAAATCCTATAAAAGCCTCCTCCAATTATTTCAAACACTTACACACACACACATCCTCATGCAGTCCAGGAAGCCAGAAGCCAGCAAGGGGAAGAGCAGCACTGTAGCTCCTCCATGGCAGTACCAAAGGGGAGTGCTTTTTGGCTGGCATGTCACAAGCAATCTGGGTGAGATCAGTCAGGGCTAAGCTCCCACCCTCACTGTGCTGACTGCAGATAGTGATGGCCAGTCACAAAATTCTCAGATACAACTGAGCTGCTCTACCCTGCTGTGCCACAGCACCCCTGGGCTTTCCAGACACCAAAGCCTTGGAGCCAAAGTGAAAACAGAATGACTATGAGCTCAGGCTTCCAGCAGAAGGGCTGCCACATTCCCACAGGAGGTCTGGGTTTGGAGAGAGGTCAGAGCTGACAGTGCTTCTCTGAGTATGTCAGGCTAGAGATCCGTGCAAGACCACTGAATGCTTCCACATACACCACACATTTTCTGCCACAAAGTGTAACTACAGAAGAGAAGAGCCACTGCAGTTGCTGGAAGGACCATTTTGGCCAGTATTCTGCCTTGAAGCAGCCCGCAGAAGATGGCCAGAAAGGGATAAGACTAAGGCAAGCATATAGCCACATCCTCTCCAGCATCAGAGACCTTATGCCAGTTGCAGTTATATATGAGCAGTAACCCTCCAAGGAGCTCTCCTCATTGGATTTATCAGGTCTCACTTGAACCCACAGGCTTCCCTCAGCCACATCTTGCAGCAAGGAGCTGTGCAGAGTAGTGAGCTTCCCACCTGCAATGAACCAGCCACTCACTAGTTATATTTGATGTCATTCATTTCTCCTACTGGAAAAGAAGATGGAACTACTTCCTAACCACACCACACTTGACTGTATAGACTACTACATTCCCAAGCCCCTTTGCCTCTAGGCTGAGGACTCTCCAGCTCACTTAGTCACCCCTTGTGCAGAAGCTGTGCCAGACCCTCCACCATCATCCTTGTCAGCTGTCTCTGAGCCTTTTCCAGTTCTACCTTTTGAGCTGGTCCAGAACTGCAGGCTGCAGCAGCACTGTGTATCTGCACTGGATTATACAGCCACCCAAGAAAGCCATCCCCAAGGGAAGGATCCTAGCTGCCCCCCCTCCCCTATGTGTACTTTCTGCATCACGCTTTCCTGCACAGCAGGGGCTCAGCCACCAAAGGGGCTGGGGGAAAATGATGAGGGGGGAATGATTCCTGAACACAACCCAGAGTCAGATGCCACACGGGGTTGCTGCACATCATCACAGAAAGAGGGGAAAAGCCCTTGGCTGCAAAAAGGAAAAAAAAAATGCTGTTCAAAGAATGAGAAGCCAAGTTAAGGAAGGAAATATTTTCCCATGCTTAGATGCAAGTTTCATAGCCACTGTTTGTCTGAGGAGTGGCTTTCCAGAAGCACAGTGAACTGCCACGCTCAGACATGCTCTCTAGGTGGGTGTCCCACCTGGGTCAGAGTTAATTTCTGGGCCATCCACAAGTCACAAGAGGGTTCATGGTATCTCCAGTCTTGATTCACAACCAGAGAAGAGGGTGCCTGCCAGACAGCCTTTTTCGTGTCTGTTTGCTAATCCAAATGCTTTCTTATTAGGGACAAACCAAGTTTCCAATTCCAACCCCTACTGAGCAGTTGGAGGGGAGGGACAAGCATTTGTGCAGCATGCAAAACACTTTTATTCTGACTGGGGGATGCAAAAGCAGCTACAACACTGACCAGATGGTCAGGCAGAGCACTGCATTAAAGAAGAAAACATAAGGGCCACCAGAACCCATGCTACGGCTGGCTGCGGGTTGTCATGTGGGTGTCACAGGATCAGAAGTAGCCCTTCTCTTTCAGTACAATAAAGGGAACAAAAACACCATCTTTCTGTTCTTGTCCAAAGTCACTGTCACAATCCGTAGTCTTCAAAAGCCAAGAATGAGGGCTCGCTTCACACAGTCACACTGCAAGCCAACGGGACAAGCAAGAGTCTGGCCAGAGCATAAAGCTCTGCTCGGAGGGCTTGAACTGCCTCAGGAGAAAGCCTGGAGGGACGAATGGCAGGCTGCAAGACCTCAAGTCCAGATTCTCAGGTGAGCTCAGCAGCACTGCCCTCTGGACACTTGTGTGCCACCCCTGCAACTTCCAGGACACCTGGTTGCTCCCAGCGTCTCATGCCAAGCCTCATCTGAGTGATACTGTTCTCCTCTTAGCTGTGGATTCAGAAGACACATTTAAGCCTTTTTCTTGTGGTGGGTAAAGCATGGGAGGGGGTAAAATGGAGTCGGGAATGAGGCCCTGCTCTCCTGACCACTGGCACCGAGCTTGCGTTGCCCGTAGCTACAAGCTGAGCTGCAGGGCACCACCCTGCAGGAAGAAGGGAAATACACAGCCCATCCCTCAATGACACATACCTCTTGGGTGGCTTCCTGCCCCTGCCACCTGCGGTCAGGTCAGAGAGCTCTGGCAGGGCTTCCATCAGCGGCTGCATGTCTCCCACCACAGGTGTTGCCTTCCGCTTGGCTTCGGCTTTTTGCTTCTGCTTGGCTAGCTTCACACTCTCTATTTCTGCAACAGAAACGAGACTTTACTGGAGGAAGGGGAAGCATTTGCAAGAGACAACCCTCGAGCTAAGAAATTCATAGGCTGCTTTACCATCTACAGGAACAACAGGCCAGAAGTGAGCGATTTAAACCAGAGAAAGACTGAAAATAATGTAGCCAAGTAGCTCCCTCCCTTGCTCTGTTTGCTTACAACTACATACACCTCCATTGACTTCTGCAATGGGAAGCAAAATCTCCAGATGGATTTTGTCTGAACTCTTTCTATCCCTTGCACCATGGCATGTGAGACTGTTCATTGCTCGCAGCAACACAGCACAGAAGCCCTGGGATGGAAAAAAGCCACGCTGACCTTGCATGGAATTGGAAGAGAGAAAGAAGAGAGGAAGTGACTAACCAAATAGAGTCAGCTCCACACGTGGCATTACACAGTCACAGCCCCATCTCTGCTTGGCTGTTGGAACAAAACAACGGTCTCCTAGCACAGGCAAAAAAGACGGAATCCATTTCACTTATTTGCTTAGTTTGGAGCGAGTCAAGGTCTCACCTCCATGACTCATGGTGGAGCTCAAGCAGTCAGATGCTGGATAAACTTAGCTCTCAGGGAAGCTCTCCAGCTTTCCTGCAGCTTTCTTGCCCACAGTGGCAGACACAGAGGCAGCTGACTTTTCCTCCAGACCATGTTTACTAATCTCCCTGCAGCAGCTCTCAGCAAAGCTATGGGCATGTAAGGCTCTACAAATGTTACGTCAGTCTCCCTTCATGGCTGTGGGCACTGAAAGCCGCAGGCTTCTGCCCCAGTCCTCAAGGCTCCTTGGCATAGATGTGGGTCCCATGGCTGCCCAAGCCTCAAAGAGCCAGCAGGTCCCAGGGCAAGACCCAGCAGAACATCTTCTCCTCTAGGACAGCCCACCAAACCCCACCACTGCTAAAAGCCTCCAGCTGAGCTCCAAGATGACTCAGCATGACCCAGAAGACCCTTGATGATTCTACCAGCTCAGTGGGATCCACAGGCTGGAGTACTGTGTCCAGTTCTGGAGGCACAGGAGGGCCATGGACCTCTTGCAGCAGTTCCAGAGGAGGCCACAAAAATGATCTAGAGGGCTGGAGCACCTCTCCTACGAGGACAGGCTGAGAGAGCTGGGGTTGATCAGCCTGGAGAAAAGAAGGTTCCAGGGAGACATTATGGTGTCCTTCCAGTACATGAAGGGGGCCCACAGGAAAGCTGGAGCAGGACTGTTTACAAGGGCATGTAGCAACAGGACAAGGGGACATGCTTTTAAACTAGAGCAGGGTAGATTTAGATTAGACATTAGGGGGAAGTTCTTTATTATGAGTGCAGTGAAACACTGGAACAGGCTGCCCAGAGAGGTGGTAGAGGTCTCATCCCTGGGGGCATTCTAGGTCAGACTTGACGGGGCTATTAGCAACCTGATCTAGCTGGGGATGCCCCTGCTTACTGCAGGGCAGTTGGACTAGATGGCCTTTTGAGGTCCCTTCCAACTCAAGGAATTCTACGAGCTCCCTTTGCTTCTTCGAGATGACCACCTGGCCTGGGTGAACCAGGGATCTGGGAACCTGCCATGCTGCCTTGGCACCCCCAAAGGGTACCAGTGCTGCAGGGTACACAGTGGAGGCACCCAGCAGAGGCCACAGTGGAGGACCAGGCTTCTGCTTCCTGGCTTGGACAACGAGCATGTTGCAAGGACAGGCCTCAGCGCCGGGCCTAGAAACTCCTTGTCTGGACTTGGAGTGCACTGCCAGCAGCTGTTGGGCCAAGCTGGAGACACAGGGAGGCCAGTGGCTTCCAATGCAGCAGGGCCACAGAATCAGGACTAAATCAGCACCAGTATTTTTGGTGGGAAAATGAAAGCAGCCAGCCCCATTCTACAGATCACAGGCAAGACACCACCAGCCATTCTGGGTCTGTCCTGCTGCCCATACTCAAGAAAGCAGAACTCAAACTCACTGGCTAGCCACTGGTGCCTTTAGTATCTTTGTCCTGTTCACTCCCCAACTCCGCTGAGTCGAAGAGCAACAGGTTTTGGTGAACTGCTATTTTGCTGTACGTGGATGTTCGTGACAGATCTGGATTGCAAATGCGTCTCCTTGCAGCAAGCCCTGCCAAGAACACAGCTTTCTGCTCTGCATCACTTCTTTTTTTGGTCTGGCTTTATGAAGCTCAGTGCTTCAGTGCTTTCATAAACACTATGTGCTCAAAGTTTTCAGACACCTGATTTTGCACAAACATCCCAAATTCTTTTCCTGTGAAGTCTTGCTCATCTGAGGACCATGCAATATATGTATTTTTAAATGCGCATACTTCTAATGTCTGGAGCATTACACAATTCTTTTCTCTCCCTAGTCTCTCCTGAGATGATTTACTGGAATGGAAGAAATCTCCAAGTTTTGCATTTGCACTACTGAACTGAACTTTAGTTCCCAGGGTCTTGGCATTCAGTGTCACAAAAGCAGCCCTGGGACAAGAAGAAACAGCAAACTCTTGGGAAGATTTAGGAAAACAGAGATGTCACAATAACTTCAGCAGTCCAAGTTGGGTTCTCTTTCGGGGGCCAAAGACTGCAAAACCCATGACGAATTGGCAGTTATCTGCATCAGATAAAAATCAATGTGCTTCATCTGACTGCAGCTTCTTAAGGTCCCAATGTTAGAATGCCAAGTTTCATTTTTAAATCTCCAACTCTAGAAATACCAGTTCATTTCACTCCATCAGCGTATAATAATACTGGTTTCTTTAATAATAATATTGGTTTCTTTATTAATGTTTCTATAGGCTCTTTGCAGCTCCTCCATTTTTCTCAATAACAAGCTGCACACCTGGTATTAACACTCACTGACTTACAGAAATCCCTTGGTACTTGCTACCCTTAGCAAAGCATTTACTAGGGGCTGCTGGTACTTGCCAGCTGGCCACAAGTTTAGTGGGGGAAGCATGAGAGACAGCAATTCAGGTACTTCTGCATGTGCAAAGCATTTCTAATATCTAGTCTCTTCTAAGACAGAAATTTGACCTAAAGTTTTCTGTCTTGGTGTTATCCTCAAAGCAAAGCCTGTGCATTTAACTTGCACTCCCTCAGCTTTGTAAATTCAGAGCCAAGAGAGGAGGAAAGAGGCCACAGCAGGGCCAAAATAAGATACATGATCTTGGGAAAGACTGATGCTACAAAGGCACATATGCAGGAAGGCAGGCTTAAGAGAGTGCAAGGACCCTGCTCCTGGGCTTTTCCAAAGTGGCTGACCTTGCCTATGGGAGCAGTGCTGTCACCTAACTGCAGGACCATGCCCTCCATTTCTGGCAGAAGACACGAGTCCCACGTACTCTTTTTACTGTGGATTCTGCCACAAAATGCTGCTGAGGACTCACCTTTCCACCACAGCACCTGGTACCAGTCCTGGGATCAGAGGAGGGAAAGCTCGCCTGTGCTCCAGCAGTCCCCTCCTCTGTTCTCCCAACAGCACCAGACAAGTAGAGACCTTTACGAGCACGGAAATCGCAGCCAGCAGGCCAGACGTCAGGACTAGCACAGCCAGTCCCTCTTTGTGCCCTACAGGGACATCAAGGGTTGCAGATGTCAAAGGCACTGGGAAGTTGTTGGCTGGTGACAGGGAGAAGGTTTCCTCCACACTGACAGTGTTATCAGCTTTTTATGGAAGGGGAGCCAGAGACACCTTCACAGCAACTGGTGAAATCACAGGTTGATGGACTTGAGCTCAGAGCTGAGGAGCAGAGCACATATGGTGTGGCAGAAAGCCACATCCCTCAGCCCTAAACACAATCTGTCAGCAACTCTGTTGGGCAGGAAGGTGTTAAGGGAAAAGCCTGTCCCAAGAACAGCTCCAGGTGGCAAGAGGAATCCCTCTGCTACACCAGCGTCTCTTACTGTGCCAAGACAGTCAAAGCAAAAAGACAGTCCCTTCCCACAGGAACCAGAAGCATTTCTCCCATGGGCTGGTTTTGTTCAGCTCACATTTCATGGCCTCAAAAAAGGCCAGACTGCTTGGTAAGTGGGTTCACTGACCTGTGGCATGTGGGAAAGAGCAGTAACGCAATCAGGAGCATCCAGAGACTTCCTTTATGAAGGCCTAGAGGGCCTACCACAAAGCCTTGGGATTAGCTTGTGGCTGCATGGGGCTCAGCTCGAGGCTGCCCTCCTGTCCCTGCTGCTTCTCAGACAGAGCTCCACCATATAGCTAGTCACACCTTTACCAGAGCTTTAGCAGACAGAGAAGCATGCTAAGCCTACATAAGCAGTTTCTCATCTAGATAAAGGGTTTTTTTTATGTAGTCATTTACATTACACATGGAGGACGATGAAAAGTAGGTTTGACACAATGACTCAGTCTGGATGCTTAACACAGAGAAACAATACCTGGGACTTTTACCCCACGTGTTGGGGAGCAGATGTGAAGGTTTCTGAGAAGCATTCAACCAACCTCAGCAGCATCCAACACTTCCACCCACACCCCATGAACAGAGAGCTCCAAGCAGAGCCATGCTCCATGATGACCATGGTACCACCATGTTTCACAGAGTACTTACTTTGTAGCCATCTTTCCTTCCTCAGCTTCATTTTTTCTTTTTTGGAAAGAACTGTTTTTTCTTCTAGACCTAGAGGGAAATAGAGAGATTGAGATGGAGTCTGGCTCCTGCATACAGATTCAGTGCTGGACACTTCCCAAAGACAGCAGATTTTATAGTATTTTTTCAATCCTTGATGCTTTTTTGAACTTGCTGGCAGGTCAGGCAGGCAGAGCAGGAGCTACACCACACCTCAACTTTTAGCTGAGGAAATCAAACCTGGCTCATTGTTGGTTAAGTAATAAGAATACTGGCACTAGATCAGTTCTCCAGCAGCATAGGCCCTGTTTTCTCATATCAGGTAGCATTTTCAGGAAAGCTTTTTGAGAGACCCTTGACCTGTGTCCTGCACTCTGGCATGATCCTGGTCTTGGAGCTGGCACTTTCTTCTGAAGACTAGCTGCAAGTGATGGGAGGACCATGTTCCAGAACTGGGAGCAAAACGCAAGTTTTAATCTGGAAAGTATGTAGGCCAATAAAGCTAGGAAGAAGGAAAACATGGGCTGCAGATCTGTGCAAGGGTAGGAGAGAGAAATGGTGACCTGACATGGCTACTGGCATTCACCCGCCTAAGCAACAGCCTCAGAGCCTGCCCAAACAGCATGTGGCAGGCAGGGAAAGGATTGAAAGGGTATGAAATATCCAGACCTGTAGCAGTCCTAAGGAGCAGACTACTACTAATAGCTTGTAAAAAGGACTCGTACCTACTGTATACCAAATTCAGCATTTGCAAACCAACTGTTGATCACCGATATCCAATACCAAGCAAAAAAAGGTCACAAATATTTTTACTACAGATCCCTTGCAGACACTATATAAGTTTATCTTATCTCCAGTGCTTAATACAAAATTTACTTGAGATAACTTTTCTCCTGAAATGTGCTGGGAATTCTGCTACAGGAATG